ATCAAAATCAATTGTACTTTAGACGAGAATTTTTCACGAAATTCCAAAATAAAAACCTCTGAAGAATGGTGAAGAATTGGAATGTAAACGCCTAGAATTCTCAATTTTAGGTGAGCAATTCCCCAAATAAATGTCAGATGTCAGATGAGACGAAAATGTCAGAAGAGCAAAGTACAAAAAACATTTTTCATTCGAAAATCCGAAAAGGAAATGTGAAATGAAAACGACACTGTGAAGAGATGGAATATGAAAAAAACGTTGGAATAAAATAGAGCAGAATTGGGGATATATGAAAGATATGGAAGACTTTTATATGCTGCCGTTCATCTGTTCATATCAACAACTTAAAGGGTTATGCATGTGCCCACTTGCTTGATTGACTGCCTGACTTGTTCTCGCATGAACTGGTTTGTGATTAAAAGTGATAGCAAATGAATATCAATTAGAATGCATACAAAATCATCTTTTTTCACTGTTATGATCATTTGCTGCTGTTTTAGCTGTTGTTATGGTTATCTGTCTTATTCGATTCATCATTAATAATCTGAGATTTGATTTTCTCGAACGCATTGTAGCAGGAGCACATTTCGATCGGTAGTAATAATAATAATACCGTTGTAATATTTTAATTCGATCAATGAAATTGAATTAATTAGAATGTTTATTCTATTCTTTTTCATTGATCTTTCATTTGCTTACAATTTTCGCTTAAATCAAACAAAATTACTCAAGCATACAGCATATAAATATTTGAAAATGGGGTATTTGAAGAGTACCTGATACTGACTAATTGTAAGTGTAATATTAAGGTTGAAAAATATTTGTTTCAATTTATTCAGACTCATATTGGTTACTTTGAATTATTTGAACTCGAAATAACAATTAGTTAGTTTTTCGCTCAACTCAGTCTTCATATAGAGGCTTATGCACGAAACGTTCGTTGATCAGCTGAGTAAATAAAATATGTTTTAAGACTCGTCGATTTGCCGTAAGCTTTTCGCAGCTTTTGTGTTGAAAGATTGCTCATTTTAGAGTGGTATTATAAGTTAACCACTAAGATCTCAAAAAACTGCTATTAATAAATTACTGAAATGAACTGAGACCACATGAGACACCATCAGTATCGATTAATAGAATCTTTATTGGACTGTTATTGTCATATATTCACCAGTTTTATTCATGACTGTCCTTGACTGATAGCATCGAAAAGCAGAATGACTTTCAGCAAAAAGTCACAGACACATCGTAATAATGACAGAACGATGTTTAGATAGATCGTGATTTGAACAGTGGTAAAGTGAAAATCAATCAGAAAAGTCAAATTCTCGATGAATCTCTGAGTTAAGGAATTTTAGGTGTCATCCTTCCGGACCGAAAGTTCGCCCTATCATCAATGAAGGATGGAAATCGAGTAATTCAATTCGCTGATTCTTAAAAAAAGCGTCGAATAGGTCTAGTACGAGAAATTAATTATCAAATGAGCCGATCATTCTATGAATTCTTTTAATTCGCTTAATGAATTAATATGGTAGCAGTCAGTTTAGGCAATTATTGTCGTGCTGATAGCAAATTCGCAGAAATTGTCGGAAGGAATTTATTTGTTGCGAGGGAATTATTGAAACACGATGAAATTTCATTTTTTGTTGAAATGGAATTGTTGATTGAATCAAACCCGTTGACTGTTCCGGTCGGAAGTGCGAGCTAATTCATTCACACGCATTCTGAGAGCGTTACTGATGGAAATCATCAGTTTCGTGCTCTCATGATTCGATCAATCTTGATAAAAACCGAGACCTTACACAACCATCAACTGATCACTACAATGTGAAAATTTCGTGATGCATTCTTTAACTGTGATTTGCAAATGCACCAAACAACGAGACTAATTGAATGACTTTATAAAATATTTATTGTAGATATTTTAAGCTTTTTTTCTCATTTTGAGACGTGTTCAGTAACATAATAGACACAAACAATACCATAACAAAGCCATATATGATAACGGTAAGAACAATTATACGAATTACAAGAATGAAACAATAATATTTATGAAAACAGTGGAGATAACACACTGTCAACAAAGATAATGATTAGAATATAAGGAAAAAAGGCCATATTATGATATAGTTCAGAAATGTGAAAGAACTGAAATTATTTCAAGCTGATTAAAATATCCGATGACTATGAAATCATTAAACGATCACACGAAGAAAACAGCGATAAATGCTTGATGATAAAGATTTTAACAACAACGATAACAACGGTAAGATAACAAAATAATATTGATAATAACGCAGACATATCAGTAATTAACACGTAAATAGATGTATTATGAATATATTTAATAATATTATGAATATGTGTATATACCATGACATGCAGCATTATTATTATGAATTCATTTGGATACACACAAATATTGCAACACTTTTATCAAAAAACTTAACATAGTAGCAAAATAAGCAAAAGAGTATCATCGGATGTATAAGTGCGAAAAGCTCTAAAAATTCCTAATTGACAAAGACTATTTTTAACAGTTCTTGTAGATCACAATAACATGCCGAATTTCTCGATCATTTAAAATATTCGGAATTTTGTGAAAGATCTCAAAGCNTTCTCCCATTTGTGAGAATGTTTTTTGAAAAACTTCCATTAAGATGAGCACTGAAGTCAACAATGAATAAGACGCATATGAAACCTTAATAATAAGTGAACTAACTCCCACAAGAAATTTTGAGTAAAATGAGATTATTCAGCAGTTAAGAGGTATGTGTCCAAAGTTAAACTGCACACTTTTGAATATTTGACAAGTAAATCGCTGAGTGAGCATAAGACTGAGCTTGAGGTACATCGTAGACCTGACCGTTTAGTTTATAGCCATCCGGAAGAGAGAATTTCTCTTGTAGGTTCGCCAGTTTCAGAACTTTTTTTGCCGGATTATGCAGTTGACTTAACAAAGCCATATCGCCGTCGTCGAGATTGAAATCAAACACCTGAAAGAACTCGCAGTTCATCATCAGGCTCGAAAGGCTGGGCTCCCAGGCATTTCTGGATCTTCACGGAGGCACTGTGGGCTCAGGATAGGATTCTGTGGTTAGTTGAGCCATCAGTTGTGGATATAGGTATTGAAAATGTGGCAGAACGAAATCAGTACAATAACGAGGTAACGACAGTAACTTTATGATAATAATAATAATAATAATAATAGCAATCATAACAATAACTTAGAGGTAAGGATATCAAAAATTAATTTGTACCTGACTATTCTCTTGAATTCGATGTAATTGTCGACTCTTCGGAATCGCTGGAATGCCGTTTTGAATCGACCACCGGATACATACTTGGGCCGGAGTCTTGTTATGCTTCGTTGCAACTGCTTTTAAAGGCTCTTCGTTCAAAACAGAACCTTTTGCCAATGGGCAATACCCCTAAAAGAACAAAAGTATTCATAGATCTCCAACGTACTTGATGAAGAAAAGATGTAAGTAATAAGCTTTTCGTGTAAGAAACTTTGGAGATTTCAAACCTCAAAGTTTAGAGAACTCGAATTTGAATCTGAACTGAGAACCTGAACAATCTAGAGAATCTCGGTAAGTTCAAGACTATTCTATGGAAATGCGATGCACTTGCAAATGTCACTCGCTGTATTACTCAGCAGCATCTCATCATTATTACACACATGTGTTTACATTGCATGACGACTGCACTGTTTGTGGCATTGCAATAGTGAAAGAGCATATAAACAAGAATAAAACTGAACAGAAACATTACAACAAAACATTGAGAAATACCACAAAACAGTTCGATGATTTTCATAAAGAATGAGAATTCAGTCAGAACACTTTCGAAAAGAATGAGATCGATTAGAACTCGGTGAAAAAGAATGAGAATTTCACTAGTACNTTCGAGATCTATCTTAAAGGAAACCAATAAACCTGAACCTCTTTACCAAACAGATGGATTCAAGAGATCCTGCACGCAGGTACTTTTGGAAAACATGATATACGATGAAAATGATAACAATTGTGATGATGTGATAATGACAAATGTGATAATATGACAACAATGATAATAATAATGCTCTGGTCCTTACAAAAAAATGATAATAATGCAAAGAATACCATAAAGGTGATGTTCTCCTCCTTACAATACTGCACCAGATCATTGTTATTATAGCAAACATGGAATTCACACTGGTTCACGTGCGGTTTCACACTACAATATTCCAGTAATTCATCCAAATCGCTCTCCGAATAGTTCGATACACCAATTGATTTTATAATACCTGCAATTGGAGTTGAGGTTTAAACGTCGACCTGACTTTAAACGAGATTCCCTTGTTTGCATGACTTTAAAATCAGGATTGAGATGAATTTATAAGTCTTCTCTAAAAATTTAACCTTCATCGTAGAGCAGCTCCAACGATCGCCAAGTTTCCTCTTTCACCTGCCGTGGATTCGTGAACCAATAGGGCACAACTGGGAAGTGAATCATGTAGAGATCTGAAAAGAGTGAAATGTCCTGCTGCGTTACTTGAATAATTAGGATTTTGAAATCTTAGATTCCTGGGATCCAGAAAAAAAGCCTCAATAAGATGGTAGTAATGAAGTCGCAGAATTCTCATCCTTTTCTCTCAACTCATCTGAACAGTTTGTTTGAGACTAGTTTCTCTGCGCACGATAGAGCCAACAGTACGAGTTCGGAAGCCGAGCTAATATTGGAGCCTTCGGTTGATGAATTGGGGCGGATGCAAAAATCAGATCCCATATGCATTTCATGGAATCTGGAGGATGCGTTTCACAGTATATCAATAGATCATATTAGTTTATAATGAGATCTGAGAGTAATGGAGACCTGAAGAACGGTGCGTAAAATTTAGATGAATTATCGCAGATCAACTAAAGATTACGTAGATAATAACTAATTAAGCATGTATAATCATTTTGCATCGGAAAATTCAGAATAATAGCGATTCAGAAGAATTCAGAAGAAAAATGTTAGAATCTCTTGATGTTTTTGAGCCATGAATGATGTTTCTAGCCGCAGACAGGTGATTGATTACCTACCAAGATAGTCGACACCAAGTCGAGCACACGATTCTTTGC